TCCTAATAGTGAATAAGTCTCACAAGATCTGATAATTTTATAAATGGGAGTTCCCATGCACCAGCTCTCTCTCGCCTGTTGCCATGTAAGACATGTCTTGCTTCCCCTTCACCTTCCACCATGATTGTGAGGCCTCTCCAAGTCATGTGGAACTGTGAGCCAATTAAACCTCTTTCCTTTATAAATTACCCAGTCTCAGATATGTCTTTATTAGCAGCATGAGAATGGACTAATACACTCAGTGAAAAAAAATGCTGGGCCAGGCGTGATGGCTCACATCTGTAATCTCAGCACTTTGGGAAGCCAGGGTGGGAGAATTACTTGAAACTGGGAGCTCAAGACCAGTCTAGGCAACATAGCGAGACCCTGTCTCCTTATGTAAAAAAAAAAAAATGTTTTTTTAATTAAAAATAATAATAATGCTAACAGGCATCTAATTGGGCAAAATGATCTGAGATGAAAACACAGTAATGCAGAACAAAATAAACAATGGAAAAGACGAACATGTGGGCAAAGAAGAATGAATACTGACTGTTACAACAACAATAAAAATAATATCTAATGGGGGTTTTAATAATCTGTAGACCTAAAACGAATGACAACAATAACATAAGAGGTGTGAGGGAATAGATAAAATTGAAATGTTCCAAAGTATCTTATTATCTAGGATTGTATTTCCCCAAAATAAATTTAAACATGTCCACAAATGACTCATACACAAATAAATGTTCAGAACAGCATTATTAGTGATAGCCAGAAAAGAAAAAACTCAAATGTCCATCCACGGGTGAATGGATAAACAAATTCTGGTATATTTATATAATGGAATACCACTTTTCAATAAAATGAATGAACCACTGACAGACTAAAAACTATAGATGACTCTCACCATCATTACGTTGAGCTAAAGAAGCCAGATTTGAAAGAGTACATACTATACAACTCCATTTATATGAACTTCTAGCCAAGCAAAACCAATGTGTAATGCTAAAAGTCAGCACAATTGTTCTCTTTGCAAGCAATAGAAACTGGAAAGGGAGAGGAAGTGACCCCTGGGAGGTTGCCAGTGTTCTATTTCTTTTTTTTTTTTTTTTT